AGTTTCACACTGTTGCACTTACTTTTGTTTGGCATTCAGGTTTTTGTCAGAAAAAGTTATCGATCTCCATGACAAATTCATGGCATGTGTGAATGACTGCTTTTTAAATCATTCACTCCTCCGCAAGGTTAAGATTTAGACATTGCTGCATAATTGTTTCACTATTATCCTTACAATTACGTGTTGATATAATTTTCCTATTTTTACATCTTTCTAAGCTCTCAAGGAAGTCTTTGAAGTCTTCTGCAACAAGGATGTTGCTGGAAGTTCTAGTGCAGAACTTCTTGCCACGTCTGTGATAACATTCTCAGAAAAGTTGGGAGTGAAAAATTGAGTGATGAAGCCATTGAAGAGACATTGTAGAAGGTGTGTTTCTCGTGTTTTACAATATCTCTTTGTCGTTTATTTGGTAAAAGACGTAGAAAGATGTGGTGGAGGTTCTGTTTAATTTCACAGGTGGTAAAACTGCTTGCTTATGTTAGTGATAAGGTTCTTTTTGCTGAATTCTATAGGTACACTTCCCGACTTGATGGTTTGGGTTTTCCATCATTCAAGGACATAATATACTTTATATGATAAGATGATTGATTTGTATTGCTTTTTTATTTTTTATTTTATTTTTTTCCGAAAAAGCTTGCTTGGCGTCTATGATTTGATAAGAGTGCAAATGATGAGCATGAGAGAAGTATCCTTACAAAGTCGAAGCAGCAATGCGGTGGTCAATTTTCTTCAAAAATGGAGGGGATGGTAAGTTGTATTTTGCATGCTGAATTGGAGGCTTACTAAGATCTGAAAATGTTCTCTCCTCTCTCAACCATTTCAGGTGACAGATTTGACATTAACAGGGCAAAATCAAACGAGCTTTGAGGAGTATCTCAGCAATAATCCAAATGCAAATCCTGGGATTGACTTGGCTGTTATTGTGTTGACTGTTGGTTTACGGCCAAGTTACGAGTCCTTTGACCTTAATCTTCCATCCGAGATGGTATGTTTTTTACTTTTGTTTATCCAGAATTAATTCAGGCAGTTGGAGATATATGCAGGGACGGAGCCAGACATTTGGCATTGTGGGGTCAAAATTAAAATACAATTTCTTTTAGAATAACATATCATAATATGTTATTTTGAATGTTCGCTTCAACTACATTTTGCTCTGCACTCGAAAATAAGGGTTTTTATTTAAAATATTTCTTCATGAATGTTACAAAATCAAATTCAATATTAACAAAAGATGAGCACAACATCTAGATGAGAGAATTTGCTATTTCAGTTGAATAAATAGTAAGAAGAAACAAGATGACATCAACCATTTTTTTTTAATACTAGTACAGACCAAAATCATACTTTCCAGATTCACAAAATTTTTTATAGTTGTATTCTTAATTTCTTATTTATAGTTGCAACAATTAGATCTGAACCCCATGATTTAACCGGATAAGGATAAATGCACGATTCT